CCTGCAGCGGCCCCGCGATTGTGGGCTCTGCTTTAGGCCCAGGCAAGGGACCCCTAGCTCCTGGGACTGCCAGCTTCGACAGTACCCAGCTCCCATTGCTGGCTCCACCCCTACTTCCTGCTAGCACTGGCCAGGGCAGCAAAGGCGCCTGATTCTCCCATCATGGCTGGGGGGCAGGGCAAAGGCGGCCCCAGGGCCCTGCCCCCCAGCTCTTAGCTCCCCCCTGGGTTTCTGATCACTGTCAGTGGCAGGGAGCTTCTTCCTGCTTTCCCTTTCGCCTCCCTGCATTGTGCCTACATATGCAAATTAAGCGCCATCTTTGTGGTCAGGTAACTGCCATCTGAGTTGGCAGTTAATTTGCATATAGCCCTGATTAGCCAATGAAAAGGGTAGCTCGTACGCCAATTACCATTTTTCTCTTTTATTAGTTTAGATATTTTTCTGCAATAAGTATGATGATTATGATGAGGAAAAACATAAGTCAGTAGTTCAAAATCATCCATTATCTTGCCTCTTTAAGTTGTTGGATCTGAATTAACACATTATATTAAATGGCTCAAATATTTAAGGTACCTCTTTGACAGACTAGTAAGAGTAAGGGTACCTTTGTGTATATATAAGCAGTTTATACACTTCAACTTTTTTAAAACAAATCTGTGAATGTGGATGAAATATGGTTAGTTTAGAAAAGAGACTCTAAGACATATTTTTTTTAACCCCTTCCCCGGCAGAAACGTGTATACACGTTTTCACAAAATGTTCTTTTTTCAGTCGTCGACGAGTATACTCGTCTAAAAACTTTACCTTCAAAAACCAGCTACATACGTACCATTCTAAATAATTTCATCTAGAAACTTTCTGAGGAAATACTATTCTTAACCACAAAAATGGGAAGAAAAAATAATTACAAACTGTTTTCATAACCAGCATCAAAAATACTATATAGAACCAAAATAAAAAAATTAGTCTGAAAAAGAAACGTTTTTAACAAAAAAATTATTGGGGAAGGGGTTAATTAAAATAGTAACCCTATTTCTGTCCTCAACTATATATGTTTGTGAACAGCATACAAAAGTTAGCACTGCTGGTAGTTTCCTTAAAGTGTTTATTCCAGTGTTTATTGTTCCTGGACCACTAACAACCTCTTCCCCAGTTCATTAAATCAGCAATATGGTGTCTCTTTCTTTCTTTATTGTCTCTTTCTTTTTAAAACAAGAAACTTATAGATCACCTGTATTTGCTTTTTCCAAAAAGAAGCTTTATATACAAAGGAGTATATTTTTAAATTAATTATTGATTTTAAAATAGAACTTAAAACATTTATGAAAGATACACCTTGCCCTACTTCTAAAGAACTCAAACTCAAGCTCTTTTGCCCTAATGTGGGACAAATGCCAGAATAAACTGATTTTCTTTTATATGAAATAAATATAATTATGAGAATTCAAAATAATAGCAATAACTAACATGCACTGATTGCTTAATATAGACCAGGCACTATTTTAACTACATGGATAATTTCATGTAATTTTCACCACAGCCCCATCAAATGTAGTATTATTGATATCCCCAGTTTACAGATGAGGAAACTGTAAACAGTGTAGATGAGATGTAATAAAGTTTTACCACAGTTATTTTTGTAGGCCACCATTCAGAGGAACTCAGGGTCTGTGTTACTAATAGCTGAAGCACATTGTCATTGTGTTCCTTTTTGGTACAACGGAGTGGTGAAGGAATGCCCTGTGGTCCCCAGCATGGATGGATTGCTTCTTTTTAGCTGGTAGCAAGTTTTAAGTTGTCTAATTGTGAAGCTCTCAAAACAATTAGGGCAGTGATTCTGTCAGGCTGCCAGAGCAGCA